TACCTCTTTGATTTCTTTAATTTGTTTGTCCAGTCCTCCAACCATTTCATATGTGGAATCAGGAACTTTTTCAACCATCATCAAACTCACCAAAGGATCAACCTAGATGTATTWGATGTTTACAACAGTAAGCTATAATCATAAAACTTACTAATATAAAAATTAGGTAAAACCTAATAGCGGAGCTCCCAAAAGATATGCATGTTGGATGAAGATGTGATGCAAAACACATTGGTCAGATTTTTAGTACATGTTTTGTCAAGACTAATTTATTTTTGCTAACAAAAAAATTCCATGGCACTACATTAAATAATTATTAAACTTTTTCTCTTCAGCTTTGTTGATGCAAATCAGTGATATATATAATTATATGTAAAGAAAACCACTTAATATTTTGAATTCTTGTGGTTATTTACCAAAATAAAACTTCCTTAGATAATCTTACAGAAATCATAAATCAATATTAATTCTTAATATATTTTGAAACTTTGACATTTTTCAATCATACAGGAATTATAAATAATATTAAATGCATTTTGGCAGTTTTGGTATTTTTCAATCATTAAAGGAATCATAAAATAATAACAAATGCATTTTGACGGTTTTGAAATTTTTCAATCATGCAGAAATGATAAAAATAATAACAAATGCATCATGTCAATAGAAATTGTTTGCAATTTTGTTGTTTTAAATTCTTAATAGTTGATATTTTTCAATCTTTACAGGAATCATCAAATAATATAAATGCATTTTGAAAGTTTTGGCATTATTCAATCATGCAGAAATCATAAATTCATCTTGAAATGTTCAAACTYTTTGATCTTCTAATGTTTATGTAACTACAGACTTTTGCTTATACCAATGTCATTTAATGGACAGAACATTACAGCTGTCGCTTGAAGATATCAGTTTTATCTTCAAGTTTTGAATTTATATATCCCATGAGTTAGCACAATATTTCCATGCACACATGTAATATCCTTTATTTAATCACACAGGAATGATACATAATAATAAATGCATTTTGGCAGTTGATATTTTTAAATCATACAGTGATCCAAAAAAATGATTTATGGGTTTATGCAATTTGACAGTTTTGGTGGTTTTTCAATCACACAGGAAACATACATAATAGTAATTTGATCACACAGGAATGACACTAATCAATACATTTTTGACATACAGTGATCATTAATGATAAGTAACAAATACATTTTGACAGTTTTGTAAACAAAGGAATCATAATGTTCATAATGATTATTATCCATTTTTCAACACTTCAAATTCTTTGCTTATCTTTGCTCTCTGTATTTGTTGACAGTTTGTATTAAAGAGTTTATTGAAGAATAAAGAGTAAAATCTGAACATTCAAATAATATCAAGGCTCTCTTTTCAAAATGCATAGTTTTATAAATTAAAACATCCGAGTAGTTTTATGTCAAAGAAATTATTATTGTGGATAGAATGTACGTGTACGAAACGTGTACACAATTCACACATAATTTCATTGTCAACAAGCTCATTTAACTGAGAAGTTTTGAAGTGTATCAGGTGAAGATTTTCAAATTCAAAAGCAAATTTAAACCAGATTAAAACTGCCAAAGGTTCTTGAAGTAGAAGAATTGATTTAAGTTTACTTAATTTGAGCACCAAAAACCGCTTGCACATTACTTATAATCTAACATACCGCCATTTGTTTAATAACGCCACGGTATCGTCGGAGAATATGTCAGTTCTCCTCTGAGAAATTCTCCATCAATAATCGTTGTCTTTGGCGTTCACTTGTTTCTCGATTTGCTTGAGTCTTAATAAACTTAAGCTTAATTGTTTCGTCTCTCACGTTTTCCCTTTCAAGCCTGCGTTGTTCTTCACTTAGACTTCTTCGACGCTCTCTTTCTCTTCTTCTTGTCTTTTCTTCTTCAGATAAAGATCGCTTTCCGTTAGCTACCCGTTGATTTTCCGACATTTGGCGCAGAAGTAAAGTATTTGAAAGGACAAAAATGGAGTCGTTGTGGTGAAAAAGTTGTTTTCAAAAACTGACGCGAGCGCGCTTCCTTTTCCCGCCTTCTCAAAAGTAGCCAATCAGAATCGCGTGGTACACGGACGGACGTACGTACGGAAGGACAACTGGGCTTCCTGTGTCGGTTGATCAAAACTCAAGCCCATGGGTTTAACATTTTTCCTTAGTTATGGTGCTCCGCGCGGGAGCTCCGCTAATAATGCACAAACTATTACTCTAATAAGGACTTTCTATTTGGTCAGGTGATTGACCTTGTAAATCTGATACAACAGTGTGTGAGCGGCTTGAGATTGTAATTCTCATACAAATCGGCCACTCATATTGTAAACTATACCTATAATCAACAATAAGGCTCAGTTTTTAGCTGTCAGGATTTCATTCTTTTAGTGTCAAATAAAGATCACTTTAGTGTTAATTAGGTCCTTTGTTTATACTTACTTTATTAGGGAGGATTTTATGAAGTGTGTAGCTGTCATTGCGTAGTGCMACTCTGCAGTTTTGAGCAACCTGGAATTATTCCRAGTAAATTAAGATCAAYTCCTTATCAAAACATATGMCAAACAATACAAAAGTACRAACTTACATCTGCCATATCAATTCCTTTGTCAATATCAACAACAAACTTGCCTTCTGGGTGTACCTGTCAAAAAAATGATGGACAATACGGCATCAGTTTCTACATACCGTGCATGTGTCTACAGGCTGAATACTAACCTTGACCAAAACTTTCTTTTTATCCATTGGTTTGACTACTTCMCCTACATATGAACCTTGTTCTTGCAGCAACTGAAGTTCTTCCCTTAACATACGAACTGTGAAAAAGTTGAAGCATATCATGTCATTGAACTTAGTTGGAACATGTTCAGAACAATATTTGACTGTTCTGTATCGCCCTTGTTTCACATCCATGGATATATACCACATTATTATATAAATGATTTCTAACGTGCGCTCTGATTGGCTAAAAAAGTGTGGTTTATGAGAGTATAAACCACAGTTGTGCACGAGCGCTTCGCTTTAAGCTCGTGCTTCTTGACATTTTTTCATGTGTTTCAAATGCCAAGCGTGCGTTTATCAGAGTATAAACCACGGCTGAGCCTTATTTATTTGTTAATTAATGACCTTTCTATTCCGTCAACAGGTACATGTACATTGTGTAATTTAAATGTTAATTRTTCTAACATTTGTGAGCATGCAATATAATACCTTTTGCATTAAGTTCATTTCTTTGGGCTTCTAATCGCCTCAAATTTTTAACTTTTTCTGAAACAACAAGCTGTAAAATGAAGTATTAGTTATTAAAATTTCTGAACATGGTGTCCAAATTGAAATCTTTGTTTGATATCATTTTAAATACACTAAAATTCAATTGGTTAACAGACTACATTTAATTTTTGTAAGACAGCCTKCAGATCACCAAAAAGCTACAGTAGCTGGCTAGCCAATAACCTTTTTGATAATCTGTAGCTTGTGCTTTCAATGCATTGCTAACCAAAGGCTCCAACAAATATGCTGCTTAGAGCTTTTCACTGTAAAATTGCACTTTGACATGATCTGTTTTGCTTAAGTATTCTTTAAAAATGCAAACATAATGTAATGACACAATTTTTGAATTCAGTTGTTGTGATTTCCAAATAATGAAAGACTTGTCAAGGCCTTGGTCTTCATCCTGATTAKTTTGCATTTCACAAACCCTCATCCAATAATATTGTATAAAATCTAAYAGATGGAAAAATGRATTGAATAATATTCAAATGATTMATATCTGTTTTACCTGAAGTTCTTCRATCTTTGTGATATAATACTGTTGGATTCCTTCATGTTGCTTCTCCTCAACCACTTCCATCTGAGAAACACAAATACAATAACATCGGATTACATGTACCTTCACTGTCGATATGCATTAAGAACTATTTGTTTTCAAAATTATAGCAAGAATAGACTCATCCCATACTAGCTTGGGTGAACACAAAACAATGGCTTTAGTTTGACACTGGAGTTTTCAGSAAAAGATAAAACTCAAGTCTCAACTTGAAGGCATTGTTTTGTGTTATCTATGTGAGTGTGGGGTAGGTTAATATGGTGGCATTTCAAAATTTGATGAATTTTGTTTCTTTTTGGGATCTTTGATCCTTAGATTGTGTTAAAGAACAGAATCCAGATTAATTTTATTTTAGTTTTTGAACTTGTGATGCCACACAGTATCCAGATAAACGTTTGAGTTTTTGAACTTGTGATGCCACAGTAGGATGATAGTTAGAATGAAGGTACAATTTTGTGTCACTTGTTTTGAAAATGTACAGTGTTATACTCCAATTGATGAACCAGAAACTGTATGAAAGGACTAGAATTAGCATAGACTCCAACCTGAAGAGGCAGTACAAATGATTGTGCTGTAAAAGTTTATTTTAGGTAACTATTTACACACGAGAAATGTAACTCTTCTTCCTCATGTTTTCATCAACCAAAGGAATTCTCCAGAATATCTGAAAAAGCTTGACCCTTACATTCAAAATTTCCCAAATATACTTCTGTTTCATTCAGTGAAAATACATTTTTCAAATGAACTAAAGCACTCTGATCTTTAATTTCTTTGTATATCAGTTTTCAAACTTCTTGTTTCATCAGACTCCATAAAATGTTCTTTGTGAGAAATATATCTTCATAATGTGCTTTGAACTACATGTACACATAACTAAGTTATTATATAAAGCACTACAATAAAATCAATTACCAAGGCAAATACCAGTGAATTACAAGTCTGAAGGCGAGCAAGAGAGGGCTTGTCCACGCTGTCTACCCTTAGTTCATGTCGTATTTCTAAGTTTACTTTTCTTACTGTAGTGTTAAGTAAGTTAAACCCACAGATGGCCATTCTTGTCAACTAAAACTTATACTTGTTTTCCTGGCCAATCTTTCGTGTACCAACGATAAATGATTCGCAACTACATCAAAGTAGTATATTCTAAAACTCCGTCAATGTCCAGTCAACAAACTTTTCACACAACAGGCGTATGTAAGACAAATTTTCTTTTCCATTCAAGCGATACGATTATGTCGTCACGAGGGCAAATGACAAAACTTATGAAAGATAACACCGCCAAATAAAAGTCAAAATATCAAGATAGATAACTTTACCTTATCCTGTTTTACTCCTTGGACCACTCGCGTTATCCCTTCTTGTTTTAAACTACTTGTTTGAAGTGGAAACTGCATCACATCGGTGCCGGCAGCCATCTTGGAATGACTTTGTGAAAAAAATTACTACCCATAATCCTCTAAAAATGCTGTAGCATTATGGGTAAATCTGTTAAACTTCCGGTTCATCAGCTTCCGGTGTGATAGTCCACTCCTGGCCTCTCGTTTCCGCGCGAGCGTCGGAAACGAAAGGCCAGGACTGGACTACCGGTGTGACTGTACCCGGCGAGCAAGATCGAGAAACTCTTAAGTTTCATTCAAGCAATCTACTTTTTTAGTACTTATATTATTAATACTTATACATATGTAAATTACAATGTTTTTAAAACTTCTCTAATTTGAGAGATTTTACAATTTTTAAAATGAACTCGACTTTTTTTTGTTGGACAATGCCATAAAGCTTTTGAATTACTGATCAGTGCTTATGATAAGCAAGTAATAATAGTAATATTAAAATATTTGCCTATTATGAAACAATTAATACCAAAAAATGAATGAATACAAACGCCCACATTCACGTACTCGTTCTCAGACTGACACTTGGACTTTGGGGTGTGCCACCCACATAGAAAAGCACTGAATTTGACTAGATACTTTTCTTGGCTAGTTGCATAGCTTATCTTCCTATCTGGCGGAGGGAAGTCGGTAGTGGATCTAATTTCCTATACGGTTCTGCCTGATACACAATTTTCGTACACCATTTAATTTGAGGCATGACAGGAGTTGTCCAGTAATAGCCCCTAAAAATCTTCCTGAAGCCGTTTTTATGCATTTCTTCAAATTTGTCCAATACAATCAGATCGAGTTTATAAACTTGAAAAAGTGCGCAAACCGTACAATCCCATCATGCTTTGAAGTATAAAATGGCGTCGGTGCTAGGATATTTTAATTCCCGTTAATTACAAACAACAAGTGAGTGTTGCTATGCCCCATTCTCGTGATCAATGCGTCTCTATGGTAAACTGACAGTTATGAACAGCCA